ACTTTCCCCCGGGACCCGGTGTCCGGCCTGTTCACACTTGACACCGCGCCGTCCCCGTCTGGGTCTTCCCCCCCGGTAGCTGCGTCCACCCAGGTTGCAGCCGCGTGCTCCTGTCGGTCCCTCACTCACCCGACTCTCCTTTGGCACCACCGCCTTGGTCACCCTGCACTCCCACGTCTGCGTCACATGTCCCAGCACGGTCTCGTCCTTGGTCTCCCCGGTTCGTTCCCCGAGTTTCCCTCCTCCCCCGCCCCACCGTGCACGCCTTGTGTCGAGGGCCGGCTCCGCCGTGCCCCTCACTCCTCCTCTTTTCCCCCTACCACCGCACCACTGCAGACTCTGCACATGGACGTCTGGGGCCCAGCCCCGGTCCATGGGCCGCGTCGCGAGCGCTTCTTCCTAGTGCTTGTCGACGACTTCACGCGCTACACCACCGTCTTCCCCCTGGAGCGGAAGGCCGACGTGCCTGACGTTCTCATCCCCTGGCTTGTCTCTGCTCGTGTCCACCGCGGTCTCCCTGCCTTGCGCCTTCACTCCGACCGGGGTGGCGAGTTTGCCTCAGGTGTCCTTGGTCGCTTCTGTCGTGCGGAGGGCATCACCCAGACGTTTACCCTGCCGGACTCCCCGCAGCAGAATGGGGTCGCTGAGCGACGCATCGGTTTGGTCATGGAGGTGGCTCGCACCTCCATGATCCACGCCGGTGCACCCCATTTTCTGTGGCCGTTCGCCGTGCGCTACGCCGCTCACCAGCTTAACCTGTGGCCGCACCCCCAGCGGCCGCAGGTTTCGCCGACCCTTCTGTGGACCGGGTCCCCTGGTGACGCGTCTGCGTTCCGCGTCTGGGGCTGCCTTGCTCACGTTCGTGCCTCTGGCACGGACAAGCTCACTGCCCGCACCCTCCCCTGCGTCTTCCTCGGTTTCCCCCTTGACGCGTCCGACTGGCACTTCTACCACCCGCCGTCTCACCGCTTCTTTCACTCTCGCGACGTCACCTTTGACGAGTCCGTCTCCTTCTACCGCCGCTTTCCCCACCGTGGTCCCCCGGTTACTCCCCCCCTTTTCCTGGTTCCTCCCTCCCTGGTGGTCCCTGCCCCTCCCCCCCCCCCGCCCCCCCGTCCGGCCCCCTCTGGTGTGTCTCACGTCACCCCCCTCCCGTCGGTCGTCCCGGTCGACGAGTCTTCTGACTCTGGTAGTCCCCCGGCGCAGTCCTCGCCGTCTGTCCCTCCCCCGGTGTCTCCTCCTCCACCGCCTCCGCAGCCGCCGCCGCCGCCGCCGCTGTCGTCGCTGCCGCCGTTTGTGGACTCTGGGGGTGTCCCTTCTGGGGGTGCAGGTGTGGAGGGTTCGGGAGGTAGCCGTCGCGCAGCTTGTGGCCCTGGTGTTGGTGTTGTGTCGCCGCAGCAGCAGTCCCCGCCTGTGTCCGCCCTCCGTCTGCTCGGCCTTCCGTCTCCTGACCCTGCGCCTGTTCCTCTCCGGCCGTCTCCCCCTCTTCCCGTCTACGGCCCCGTGTTCCCTCCGCCGGACTCGTCCCCGGCTCGTTTTCCCCCTCGTTCCCCACCCGTGTCCCCTCCTCTGTCTCCCGACCCGACGCCGCCCTCTCACGTCTGGTCTCGCCGCCCCTCCCGTGCTCGTCCTGTCTCCCCCGTCCCGCGCACTCACCCTATGTTGCTCCGCTCCCACGCGTCTCGTCCTCCCCTCCTCCCGTCTCCTCCTCCGTCCTCTCTTGTCGTTGCGTCTCCTCCTCTGTCTGACTACTTTCGTGCCGCTCGTCCTCTTGTTCCTCGGGTCCTTGCCTCTCTCGTTACCGACCCGTCTGTTCCAGTGTCGAGTCTTGACGCCCTTGTCGCTGCGGTCGCTGACTTCGCCTCTACCCGCCGCCTTGACTACGCTACCGCTCTGGTCTCCGACCCTGCCTGTCCTCCGTCTGTCGGGGGTGCTCCTGCCCTCGGCAGTGACGTCCTGGAGGACCGCCAGTTTGAGCTTGCTTTCCTGTCCGAGGCTGCTCCCCATCTCTGTTCCATGCTGCTAGTCCCTGAGGGTGACCCAGACGCTTTCGACATCCCGACCCCTCGTACTTACGCTGAGGCGGTTTCGGGACCCTGGGCCTCTCAGTGGATAGCTGCCATGGAGCAGGAGATGGCATCTTGGAGATCCACCGGCACCTTCGTCGACGCAGTTCCCCCACCTGGGGTGAACGTGGTCGATGGCCGCTGGCTCTTCAAGGTGAAGCGCCCTCCTGGAGAGCCGCCTGTCTTCAAGGCGCGCTACGTGGCTAGAGGCTTCAGTCAGCGCGAGGGGGTGGACTTCTTTCAGACTTTCGCTCCTACCCCGAAGATGACTACTCTTCGGGTGCTGCTACACGTAGCGGCTCAGCGTGACTACGAGCTTCACTCCCTCGACTTCTCCACTGCCTTCCTTCAGGGCAGCCTTCACGAGCAGGTCTACCTGCGTCGCCCTCAGGGCTTTACTGGCACCTTCCCCCCTGGTACCCAGTGGCTTCTGCGGCGGCCAGTCTACGGCCTGCGCCAGGCGCCTCGTGAGTGGCACGACACTTTGCGTGCTACCCTTGCTGACCTGCAGTTCTTTCCGTCCTCTGCAGACCCCTCGCTCTTCGTTCGTGCTGGCTCGACTCCGTTCTACATCCTCGTCTACGTAGACGACCTGGTCTTTGCCAGTGCTGACAGGGACGCACTGGCCTCCGTGAAGGCAGAGCTGCTGAAGAGACACACCTGCACTGACCTTGGAGAGCTGCGCCGTTACCTTGGCTTGCAGATCTCCAGGGACAGAGCCGCGCGCACCATCACCCTGACTCAGTCACACTTGGTGCGCCAGGTCCTTCAGAGGTTCGGCCTTCAGTTCTCCTCCGCACAGCCCACCCCTCTTCCTCTGGACCACAGACTCTCCGCTCCAGTTCCTGAGGAGTCGGTAGATCCCAGTGGTCCTTACGCTGAGCTAGTGGGTTGCCTCATGTACCTGATGACTTGCACTCGCCCAGATCTCGCATACCCTCTCAGCATCCTGGCTCGTTTCGTGGCCACAGGCAGACACCGACCTCAGCACTGGTCTGCCGCTAAGAGGGTTTTGCGTTATCTTGCAAGTACATCGGGCATGGGGTTAGTGCTAGGCGGACGCAGGCCAGTGGTCCTTACTGGACACACAGACGCTTCGTGGGCAGACGACGCCGAGACGCTCAGGTCTTCCCAGGGCTACTGCTTTAGCCTTGGTTCAGGTGCTGTCTCGTGGAGAGCTACCCGCTCTTCGTCTGTTGCCCAGTCCAGCTGTGAGGCCGAGATCTACGCCGGTGCCATGGCGGCACAGGAGCTCCGCTGGCTGACCTTCTTGCTCACTGACTTAGGTGAGCGGCCTAGCTCTGCCCCGGTCCTGTACGCTGACAACAGGGCCATGATTCTCCTGTGTCAGGAGCCTCGACTCGAGGGCAGAGCGAAGCACATCCAGCTGCGGTACTTCCTCCTGCGTGAGCTACAGCAGCGTCGCCAGGCTCGCGTAGTACACTTAGCCTCCGGTGCCAACACAGCTGATATCTTTACGAAGGCGCTTGCGCCTAAAGATCATCAGCGGCACTGTGTGCAGCTTGGTCTGGTTCCTGTAGTCTCTCACTTACTCGGGCCTTGACTCTGTACTGTCCTATATATCTGTGTGTACACTCAGACTGGACTTGTGTCCTCTTACAGTGGTTGGACTAGTAGTGCCGCCCTGTACTAGTTCTTGCCTTGCCTGTACTCCTTCTGACTGGTCTTTTAGACCCTTGTCTCAGAGGCTGGACTAGTAGTGCCACCCTGAGCTGCTTGTCTAGAACATTCCCCTATGCAGTCCAGGGGGTGTGTCAAACATGTTTAGTTATCATGCTTGTATAGACTGTATAGGGTCATCTTCTAGAGAGTACAACAGTTAGATATATGTTTGTGTACTCTCATCTTCCATTCATCAATTTCACTGTTTGATAGTGCCGCCCTGCTCTTGTTCTTGCCTTGTCTGTTACTCCTTCTGACTGGTCTCTCAGACCCTTGTCTCAGAGGTTGGACTAGTAGTGCCGCCCTGAGCTGCTTGTTTAGGACATTCCCCTATGCAGTCTAGGGGGTGTGTCAAACATGTGTATTTGTCATGTTTGTATAGACTGTATAGGGTCGCCTCTTAGAGGGTACAACACTTAGGTATAGTTGTGTGTACTCTCACTCTATCATTCACTTGTTCAATTCTGATAGCGGGGTTCTGGTTGGTCACAGTCAAGTCAGCGTGATTGACAGGTAGGGTGGGGGGAAAATCACGGAACTCACGGGTGGGGGGGTTGGGGCTAGGAATACGCTATTACAAGAATCAGGATCGTGCCCTGATACGACGCTGGAAAAACAGGCCTCACTACATCTGTCACGCTTATCGATCAGAGTTCACTCCTAAAAAAACACTGAAATTTCAGGCCGTTGTCTTAAAAAATCCCTGTCTCATTAGGGTCATCCCCCCAAAAAGCCCTGATTTTACCCTGAATCAGGGTAAAAAGCCTGCAATCTGAGGCCCTGCGAAGCACGTTAGGAAAAAACTGGTACAAGTTGGAAATATGCGTGTTGTTTTCAGACAGAGACAATCAGGGTGAGGAAAAAAGTTCCCCGGCAGCATCAGGGTATTGCTTTGGTTTTCCCAAAACGCCCTGATTTTGACAGGGTACGCTAGTTTCCACCCTACATGCGAGGGTAAAAATTTCGATGTACACTGATTCCTAAGGGTGGCCTAAAACCAATTTCTGGCCCTGACCCTGAGTTGTGTGCTTCTTGCTCAGCACTACCCCTTATCTAGCCTAAGGGGTGTGTCAACTTATACATACATTTACATGTAGAAGTTTTAGGCTGTAATAGGCGTGTGTCCTTAGAGAGTACAACCCAAACCCTATATCTCCCTTGTTCTCTCTTCTTGCTAATCATTCTAGTATTCTAACACCTGGCTCTGATACATTGCTGTAACAAGGAAAGTCAGGTATTGGTACTCTGCTGAAATTGCTTTTGTAGGAACACATGCAATTAAATCATATATAAAGCACTGAGTACGATACAAGCAGCATATGGCAGCGATGGTTTCCATGCATCACATCCCCAGCAGCAGCTTGTCAAGCCCCCATGGAGCGCTTGCTCCGCGCCCGCCCCGCACCCTCCACCAGCTCCCTCACCTCCGCCTCCTGCTCCACACTGCGGCACGCCGCCACCAGTGTACGCACCGCCACCGCATCTGCGTGCACGCCCGCCGCCACCATCTTCTTGAACACGCTCACGCACTTTCTCAGAAGCTTCTTCTCCGCATAGCCGGCCATGATGGTGGTCCACGTGTTGGCGTCTGGCTGCACGCCCTTCTCTCTCATCTCCTCCATCAGGCGCTCCGCTCCCGCCATGTCACCCGCGTCCACCAGCACCCCCACCACCGTGTTGTACGTGCTCACATGCCATGCCGCCCCCTCACCATACATCCGCGTCAGCACACGCTCCATCTCCCCCCTCTCCCCCGCCCGCCCGTGCGCCCCCACCAGGCAGTTGTGCATTGCCCGGTCCACACGCACCTGCGCCCGCCCACCGCCCCCCCTCCCCCACCCTCTCTCGCCCCTTCCCTCCCTCCCCACGCCATCCCCCCCTCCTTCCTCTGGCCCCCCTCCCCCTCCCCCACCCGCCAGCCCTGCAGCCTGGCCAGGTGCGCCTCCACCTTGGCAGGCAGCGCCGCCTGCTCGTAGGCGCGCAGCAGCAGGTGGTGCGCGCGGGGGGAGGGCGGCGCGCCCATGGCTGGCAGCGAGGCGAAGAGGGCCTCGGCGTCTGGAGGGATGTGAGACACACAGGGTGGGGTGGTGGAAAGAGGGTACCATGTGGCAGCCCAAGGATAGATGAGTGCGGACGTTTGAGGTGCTCAGCTCACCACAGGCTCGACTTCCATCCGCCAGCAACTCTTGCACCGCCATGATTTCATGCACACAACATGCCATGGTGCTCCATGCACACGACATGCCATGGTGCTCCATGCCATGGTGCTCCATGCACACGACATGCCATGGTGCTGCATGCACACGACATGCCACAGTGCTCCACTCACGCCACCACGCTGCTCCTCATTCCCCGCACCCCACCCCATTGCCCTCCCCTCTCCTCCTCCCCTCCCCGCGCTCACCTTCCCACAGCCCCTGCCGTGCCAGCGCGTCCAGTAGCGGTGTCACGCACGGCAGCGGCACCGCCTCGCCCGTGTCCCGCTGCACGCCCTGCAGCACCTGCCGCGCGCGCTCCACCTCACCTGCCGTGCTGGTGGGGGGGGGAAGGGTAGAGGGGTTGGCGCCATGGCAAGAGGGATGGGGCTCACAGAGAAGTGGAGCATGGTGAATTCAGAGCACCTTGAAGAGAGCATGCACCGTGCACCTTGCTCCCCCACTTTCCTCCTTCAAACAGTCCCCTGCCGCCAACCCCTCTCCTGACCCCCTCACCGCAGTATGCACGCCTATTGTCCACCACAACCCCCCCCAATCTCACCAGAGCGCGTGCATGAGCGCTGTGGCGGCGTGCACGTCGGGCTGCAGCCCCATGTCCGCGATGCTGTCGTATGCGCGCTGCGCCTCGCACCACATGCCCATGCGCGCGTACGCCGCTATGAGCGCCGTGAAGCACGGCAGTGTGGGCAGCAGCGTGGCGCCGTGCAGCGCTGCAAACATGGCCTCCGCCTTGTGGGGCAGGCCCGCCTGGGGGGATGGAGGGTAGTGGGGAGAGAGAGAAGAGGAGAGAATGAGTGTGGTTGATAGTGTGGCCCGTATGGAGAGAGAGAACGGGCAGGGACGTGAACAGCTTGCCATGGCCATGCATCACTTCACCGTCACCCCATGTGCCGTGCCGTGCTGACGTCACCCCATGTGCCGTGCCGTGCTGACGTCACCCCATGTGCCGTGCCCTGCTGACGTCACCCCATGTGCCGTGCCGTGCTGACGTCACCCCATGTGCCGTGCCGTGCTGACGTCACCTTGCCATATGCGTGCATGAGCAGCGCGTAGGAGGCGGCGGTGGCGCGCACCCCGTCGCCCCGCATGGCGCGGAACATGCTCTCCGCGCCCGCCACGTCGCCCGCCCTCCCACGCACCTCCAGCATCGTGTTGTACGTCACCAGACCTGGGGGGGGCGGGGGGGGGGGGAAGAGGAGGGGGCACAGGGGAAGAGGAGGGGGCACAGGGGAAGAGGAGGGGGCACAGGGGAAGAGGAGGGGGCACAGGGGCCACGGCAGTGGGTGAGGACAGCATTGATGGCAGGGAGGGGTGGGGGAGATTGGGAGGGAGATTGGGAGGGAGATTGGGAGGGAGATTGGGAGGGAGATTGGGAGGGAGATTGGGAGGGAACAGGCACAGCTGATTGATCAATGCTGAGTTTGCTGCCACTTTGTAGGGTCATGCCCCTCTGCCTCCTTTCCCTCCCTGCATCTGTACCCCCCTCCCACTCACTGGGCCGGTACCCCTCCCCCCCACTCACTGGGCCAGTACCCCTCCCCCCCACTCACTGGGCCGGTACCCCTCCCCCCCACTCACTGGGCCGGTACCCCTCCCCCCCACTCACTGGGCCGGTACCCACTCCCCCCCACTCACTGGGCCGGTACCCCTCCCCCCCACTCACTGGGGCGGTACCCCTCCCTCCCTCTCACTGGGGCGGTACCCCTCCCCCCCACTCACTGGGCCGGTACCCCTCCCCCCCTCTCACTGGGGCGGTACCCCTCTCCCCCACTCACTGGGCCGGTACCCCTCCCCCCCACTCACTGGGGCGGTACCCCTCCCCCCCACTCACTGGGGCGGTACCCCTCCCCCCCACTCACTGGGGCGGTACCCCTCCCCCCCACTCACTGGGGCGGTACCCCTCCCCCCCACTCACTGGGGCGGTACCCCTCCCCCCCACTCACTGGGGCGGTACCCCTTCCCCCCACTCACTGGGGCGGTACCCCTCCCCCCCACTCACTGGGGCGGTACCCCTCCCCCCCACTCACTGGGGCGGTACCCCTTCCCCCCACTCACTGGGGCGGTACCCCTCCCCCCCACTCACTGGGGCGGTACCCCTCCCCCCCACTCACTGGGGCGGTACCCCTCCCCCCCACTCACTGGGGCGGTACCCCTCCCCCCCACTCACTGGGGCGGTACCCCCGCGTCAGCATCTCGTGGAAGAGGTCCTCTGCCTGCTGCAGCTGGCCCGCCCTGCAGTGCGCGCCCAGCACCACGTTGAACGACGCCTCCGACGGCACGCACACGCCCACGCCCTCCTCCACGCCCACCGTCACCGCCACCTCCTCCTCCTCCCTGCCTCTCCCCCGTCTCCTCCTGCCGCCCCCTTCCCGCCCTCCACTCCCCCCCTCGCCCTCCGCCCCTGCACCTGTCCCCTGTCCCGCCCCCCCCTCCTCCCGCACCCCCCCAACCATGGGTTGTATTCTGAGGCGGCCGCGCTGCATCTGGCGAAACACCTGCGCGGCAGTGTGGGCGGCGCCTGAGCGCGCGTACGCGTCCATGAGCAGATTGTAGGTGGACACGTCCGGGCGGAAGGACGCGCGCGACACCACCCACTCGTACACCTGGGCCGAGGAGGGACAGGTGGAGCGGGGTTACGGGGTACAGTGGAGGGGCAAGCAAGGTGAGGTGGGTGCAGGTATGAGAGGAGGAGAAAGAGGGGGGCGAGTAAAGGAGAAGAGAAGAGGAGACTAGGAAGGGAAAGAAAGCGTTCGAAAGAGGTGCTCAAGCAGCCACATGCCATCTCACATGCACCACCACATGCCATCTCACATGCACCACCACATGCCATCGCACATGCACCACCACATGCCCTCTTACATGCACCACCACATGCCATCCCACATGCACCACCACATGCCATCCCACATGCACCACCACATGCCATCCCACATGCACCACCACATGCCAACTTACATGCACCATCACATGCCATCGCACATGCACCACCACATGCCATCGCACATGCACCACCACATGCCATCTTACATGCACCACCACATGCCATCTTACATGCACCACCACATGCCACTCCCCCCTGCGCCTCAGCTCCCGCAGCACCGCCGCCACATCTTCCTCCGCGCCCTTCCGCCCTCCCCCTCCCCCTCCACCCGCGGTGGCGGCCTCTAGCGCCGCCCATCTGTGTTGGCGCAGCTGCTGCTGGCGCAGCTGGCGCAGGAGCGCGGAGGCGGAGGGGCTCAGCACGGGGGGAAGGCGCACGGGGGCCTGGTCGCTGCGCCGCCATTTGCTGCCTGGGGGAAGGGGTTCGGGATCAGGGGTAGGGGTCAGGGGTTCGGGATCAGGGGTAGGGGTCAGGGGTGAGGGCCAGGGGTGGGGGTCAGGGGTGGGGGTGAGGGTTGGGGGTTTGCCCGATGGGGAGTGGGGCGGACGGGCATGGGACCTCTCCTCCCTGCGCGCGCCTCCTTCCTCCATGGCGTGCGTCCGCTGCGTCGCGCCACGTGCTCTCCCTCACCTCCCCGCAAAACCCCACTATACTGCGAAGCAGCCTCGCCTCGTTTCTCTCCCGCCATCCGCTCATTCCATCATCGCCAACCTCCCCGCACCTGCTAGCGCCACCACGGGGCCCGCGCGCCTGTGCCGTGGACTGCTGGTGGCAGGGAGCGCGATCGGCGGAGTTCCGCTGAGCGGCATTCCGGGGCGCAGCGTTCGGCGCCTGGGGGACAGCAGTGAGCGGCGAGGCATTGGCGCAGCGCGCAGCTTTCCGCGGAGGGCACCATCATCCGCGGGTGGCCATCTCAAGCGGCAGGCGACGGATTCTTGGGCATTGTTCCGCGCGCCAGTGCCGGCATCCCACAAAGCCTCGCGCCCGCCGACTGCACAAGCGCGCAAGCGGGCGGAGGCCGACATGGGCGCGGAAGGGCGGGCGGAGCGCGAAAGCGGTGATCGGTGAGCGTGCGTGGGGGAGGTGAAGGGGCGAGGGGAGAGGCACGAATGGGCTGGTTGTAGGGGTGCTGGTTTGGTGGGGGTGCTGGGCTCGACGGCTCTGGTGGACCTGTCATTGAGGAACGCCTTTGTGGCGCCACAACCACACCATTGATTTCGTTATGGTTTCGTTGAGCACATATTCAGGTACAGTAACCAGACAGAGGATGTGCACTTCTAAGCAACTCTTTCCAGAACATTGGGCTAAACCTGTGCAATGAGGTGGATACAGATAGAGTTCTACCTGGCGCTGCGGCAATCAAATCATCACAACCGCAAGTGCTCTCCCTGGCAAATTCCGTGAGCGCCCTCTGGTCTGCGAGGCCACTGCTGCTGCGCCTGTCGCGCCCCTTGCGCTGCCACCCATGCGTGCCAGTGCCCGGGGAGTGCGGGACCATTGGAGAGCCTGTGAGGCAGGGCGAGTCAGCATGTGCAGCACGGGCATGCTGGGGCGGGCGGGCAGGCGGGCCATGGAGTGGGATAGTGCAGGGAACGGAGGCCTCCATGGCCACTGCGTAACGCCATGCGTGCTGCGGGTGGCAGTGGCAAAGGGGGAGAGGAGAGGCGTGGATTGGGGGAGGGTGCATTGCGAAGCAGCAAGTGCGGCAGCCCAGGTGAGAGCAGAGGTGAGGCGGAGGGGGTGGTGGCAGCGGTGGGAGGCATGGCGATGGGGCCATGGCAGGGAAGGGGGGGAGGGCGGCAGGGGGAGAGCGCACAGCAGCATGGCGGCTGAAGGGGACCTCTGCCGCTCTGACTGGGTGGAGCCTGCACCAGTTGCCACCTCCCCTTGGGGGAGGGAGGGTGGCTGTGTGAGGGATGGTCTCTGCCATATGCGAGTGACACTGCCTCTCCCACTGCCTCTCGCCCACCTGCCTTCCTCGCCGTTCACCACTCCTGGTCCGCCCACTGCCCTGCTCCTATCCTCTCCTCTCACCCGCACTGCCCCCGTCGCGTCTGCCTCTTCAGCTGCTGCGTTGCTGCTGCTCGTGCCCTCCAACGCTGCACTCTCGCCCTCCAACGCTGCACTCTCGCCCTCCAACGCTGCACTCTCGCCCTCCAACGCTGCACTCTCGCCCTCCAACGCTGCACTCTCGCCCTCCAACGCTGCACTCTCGCCCCTGCTGCTACTGCTCTCAATGCTGATCCCCTCACCATTGTTGCTGCTCTCACTCCTACTGCTATCACCACTACTACTGTTGCCTCTGCTGCTATCACTGCTGCTGCTGCTGCCGTGGCTCGCCCCATTGCCCGCCTGTCCCTCTCCATCTTCTCCCTCACTCGCCCTGCTGCCCCCACCCCCTCCTCTCGCCACCCCTCCCGCAGCACCACCCCCGTCCGCCCTCACCCGCCGCCCCCTCTCGTCGCGCTTGCTCAGCTTGCTCCCTGCCCCCGCCTGCGCGCCGCACTTGTCCCTCTTCTCCGCCACCACGCGCTGCGCGTCGCGCCACAGCCCCACGGACTGCCACGCGATGCTCGTCTGCTCGTAGCATCGCGCGTCCAGCGGAATGCCCGCGCCCTCCATCATGCGCAGCACGGCCTCGGCGCGGTGCGGCAGGCGCGCCTCGCAGAAGCCCCAGATGAGCGTGCGGAAGGTGAACGCGTTGGGGCGCACGCCGCCCGCCAGCATGCGCTCGTACACGGCCATGGCGTCGTCCATGCGCCCGCCCATGGAGCAGAAGGCGCCCATCACCGTCGTGTACGTCACCACGTTCGGCTCGATGCCGTGCTCGGCACGCATCTCGTCCAGCAGCCGTGCCGCTGCGTCCCCCTGGCGCGCGCGCAGGTGGCCCTTGGCCAGCACGGAGAACGCCTCCACGTCGGGCGTCAGCCCCGCCGCCACCGCCTCGTCCAGCACGGCGCGCGCGCGGTCGGGGCGGGCTGCCGTGCTCCACGCGTTCATGAGCGTGCAGTACGACGCGAGGTCGGGGGCCACGCCCGCCAGGCGCATCCTCTGCAGCACCTGGGGGGGTGAGCCGGGGGGGTATGGGGGTTATGGGGGTGAGAGTGACGGGTCGGTAGTACTCAGGCGTACAGCGCGCATGGGTGGCGTGCGATATGAGAATGGCAATGCAGCCTCGTTGAACATGCAACCCGACCACAACATTGCTACCCACACACCCACCTCTCGTTCGCACTAGCCAACACCTCAACCATGCATGGCTGTTCATGAGTGTTTGGCATATTTCTGGCCACCTGTGCACGGCTGGTTCAGTCTTCTTACACCCCTTGCCTCTCCGACTACCGCCAATCGCCTTCCCTCGCTAATTCTCCCCGCCTGCTCTCATGTTGGACCGGGAAGCACGTTGTAACCAATCGGCGCGCACCGGCTTCGAGGCCCCTCAGATGCAACGCACCTGCGCGGCGGGGACGGGCTGGCCGGCCTGGCAGTAGCCCTTGATGATGGTGTTGAAGATGGCGGCGTTCGGCGCCACGTCCCACTCGCGCATGCGCTCCGCCACCACCTGCGCGTCCGTCATGCGCCCCACGTCGCACAGCGCGCGCACCATCATGCCGAACGTGCGCGCGGTGGGGCGCACGAGCGCGTTGACCATTTCGCGCAGCACGCGCTCGCAGTCGTTGGGGCGGCCCAGGCGGCCGTACGCCTTCATCAGCGTGTTGTACGACACCGCGTCCGGCGCCACGCCCGCCGCGCGCATGTCGCGCAGCACGGCGCGCGCGCGCTCCACGTCGCCCTGCTCGCACCACGCGTTCAGCACCATGTTGTATGTCCGCAACTCGCCGCCCTTCCCCGCCTCCTCCCCGCCCCTCCCCGTCCCCCGTTGCTTCTCCCGCGACCAGCTCCGCCCGCCTTTGCGCCGCCCTGCCGCGGCGCCCGCGCGGCCCACCATCATCTCCGCGACTCTCGCGGCGTCGTCCGGGCGCTTGGCGGCGCCGAAGCCCTTAATGAGAGTGTTGTAGGTGCTGGCGGTGGGCTCCCACCCGTTGAACCGCATGCGCGCCAGCACGCGCACCGCCTCGTCCATGCGCGCGCGCCCGCAGAACGCGTTGATCACCGCGTTGTAGCACACGGCGTCCGGCGCCACGCCCTCCGCCTCCATCTCCGCCAGCACCGCCTCCGCCTTGTCCGGTTCGCCCAGCGCCGCGTGCGTCGCAATCACCTGCGAAAACGCCTCCAGCGGCGGCCGATGGCCGCCCCGCTGCAAGCCATCGATCGCAGCCTGCATGCCTGCGACGTCTGCCACCGCTCGAAACGATTTGATGCGGTTCAGAGCGGTGACGACGTCCGGGCACGGCAGGGGGCGCTTGCCCTTCTCCTTGGCGGCGCAGAGCGCGCAGCGGGCGGCTGGCGGCGGGGCGTCGCAGAGCCACGAGGGATGCGCGGAGCTGGCGCACTGCAGGCAGCGGAACTGCGGGGGAGGAAGCGGAGGGGTAAGGGTGGGAAGTGGACAAGGAAAGAGAGAGATGGGGGAGAGAGGGGTCGGATTGACCTGTGACCTCTTTAATTCCGTTTGCCTTCGTGTGCCTATCAATATAAACGTTTAATCCGTTCCTTTCGTTGTAAGTCGTCTAAGGATTAATCCGTCACAGAGACGACAGCAGTCCTGGGGGAAGAGAGCAGCGGAATGGGCGAGTGGAGAGGGCGCGAGGGTTTGGAAGCTGTGAGCAGCAGCGCTTAGGGGAGGCGGGAGAAAGCGAATCTGAGCGTGACTTGGGGCTGAGGGGCAGAGACGTGGGTGCACACGGCAACGGCGGCCTACACGAGCTTGGCCTTGGCGGACGGACCTTGGCGGGTCGGGTATCAGCGCTTGTCGAGGCGGGCGCCAGCGCGTGGTCCGCGGCGGTGCCGTCCAGCAGGGTCACCGCCGACCGCTCCTCGCCGTCGCTCCACGCCTCGCCGTCGCTCCACGCCTCGCCGTCGCTCCTGGCGTCGCCGTCCGACTCGAAGCCGTCCGGCAGCGACGGACGCGACGGGCGAGGCAGCGATGCATCGCGAGGCGGCCTCTTGACGCGCGGCGACTCCCGGGCGAGCGGACCCATGGCGGGCAGCGAGGAGATCGCTCTGCTCAGCGCCGCGTTAGCACGCGGGTCGAGGGCAGCGACCCACACGCCCGACTTGTAGGGGCATGGAAGTTGAGGCGCCGAGGATTTCCAAGCCGCGCCTGCGAAGACTGTCACTTGCAGAGCGGTGGTCCGCGACACACGGCGTGCTGTTCGCTGCCAGGAGCACCTGATAAAGTCGGGCGGGATACTATCGGGGGTGGCGGGAGTGAGAGAGGCAGGGCGTTCCCAAGGGGCAGCAGCAAATGCCCTGCCAGCGGACGGAGTCTAGAAGCGCAAGCCGACGTGGCCGATGGCACACCTGGCTTCGCTCTACACGTCGGCCGGGGCAATCAGCGACCCAATCAGCGTCGCTGAACCGCCAAGCCCCAGCGTGCGTGCATCCCCATGGACCAGTCAGGGGACACGAGTGGGGTCGTTTTTGGGTTATAGTCGGACTCTCATTTACAATCCTGTAACACAAATTTGCAGTACACTATATTGCTGAAAGGGGCTATTTCAATTCTCTTTGGGCTCCATCCACACCACGAAAGTTGGATCCACCGCGAGAGGCAGTCAGCCACGGATACTCTCGAGGCCATGGCTGTCCGCCACCTTCTCTCCTCCACCCTCCGCCGCGCGCGCGGATCGCCCTCCCCATTGCCGTCGGCGGCCTCCGCCAGCCCATCGCCGCCTCCCTCTTCCCGCCACGCCCCCGCCGATCGCGCGCTTCACACGGCGCTCGCCTCCAGATCGCCCGCCACGCCTGATCTGCCCACCCCTTCCGCACACGAAGCCTCCGCACATGGCATACCCGCGCACGGCATACCGCACTCGCATGCCTGTGCTTGCGTCCCCCATCTCTCCTCTCCCTCGCATCCTCTCCGATTCGTTCACGCCGCCACCACCTTCGCCTCCTCCCCGCATGCCACGGAAGACACAGTGCCACCTGGCAGTGTGACGTCAGCAGCCGATCGCGACGGCTGGCACGAAGCCACGTCAACGGCGCGCGAAACGACGGCGGACGGTGGAGTGGTAGATCGGAAACAAGTGGGCGGCGGAGCGAGATGGGCGCAAGTAGCTGCCCCGGTGTGGGCGGAGCGCACGTACGCGCGGGGCATTCGCGAATACAACAACGTGCTGCGGCACCTGGCGGACACCAACAGGTGGGCGGGAGGGGGGGGGGCGGCGGGGAAGATGGGGAGAGGTGGAGAGTGGTGAGGGGCGCCATAGGGTGCGCCCGGCACCTCATTGCCGAGCAGCGGGTCTCACATGCCGCCGCCACAGTATGCCGCCATCTCAGCATGCCGCCATCTCACCATGCCGCCATCTCAGCATGCCGCCATCTCAGCATGCCGCCATCTCAGCATGCCGCCATCTCAGCATGCCGCCATCACAGCATGGCGCCATCACAGCATGCCGCCATCAGCATGCAGGCTCCTTCCCCATCGCCGCCCTGCCCTTCCCCTCCCATCATCTCCATGACGGACATGTGTCAGCCTCCAATAGGGCCGCGAGTCACACCACCTCTCGGCGTAACACGTGTGTGTGCCATTCCCCCCCAACGCTCCCCCTCCCCGGGGTTGGAGCAGGCCGCACCTGGTGCGCGAGGTGTGGGGCGACATGGCGATGGACGGCGTGCAGCCCGACAGCAACTCGCTCCACATCGCCGTCAGCGCCGCCATGAAGGCCGCCAGGCTGCACGACGTGCTCTTCTTCTTTAACCACATGAAGACACGTGGCATTGTGCCTGACGTGAGCATTCTCGGTTGCTCTTTCACACTCGTTTCCCTCTGTCATGCCCAACTGTCTGCACCGCCAACTCAATGCCTCTCCTTCCCCATCACCCATCTCCCATCTCCCATCACCCATCTCCCATCTCCCATCACCCATCACCCACCTCCCATCTCCCATCTCCCATCTCCCATCTCCCATCTCCCATGCCTGCTCACCCCACGGACCCCATGCCCCCATGCCCCCATGCCCTCGTGCCCCCGTGCGCCCATGCGGCGGTGCGTGAGCAGGTGGTGCTGTACAACATGCTCATCACGGCGTGCGCCATCTGCCTGCACGTCGACCATGCCTTCAAGGTCACCATCGCACGCTGCTTGCCGTGAACCTCCTGCTCACTGTGGTCGCAGCGACTGTAGCGAATGTGACAAGGGTTGGTGACCGATGAAGTTGAGTGGGTTGAGTGTGTTGAGTGTGTTGTGTGGGAATACTTGGATGCTGTGCTTGCCATCACATGCTCATTCATCCCGCTTCCTGGCACGGCACGGCACGGCATGGCATGGCATGGCATGGCACGGCATGGCATGGCATGGCACAGCACGGCATGGCATGGCATGGCACGGCACGGCACGGCATGGCACGGCATGGCATGGCATGGCATGGCATGGCATGGCATGGCATCAGGTGGCGGAGGAGATGCGGCGGGCTGGCATAGAGCCCCAGCAGCGCACGTACACGGCGCTGCTCAACGCCTGCGCCAACAGCGGCCGAGTGGACGACGCGTGAGACCCGCCCCAACGCCCGCCCTCCCCCTTCCTCCCTCCCTCGCTGCCAACGTGGCCACCGCCGCCCTCGTGCCATTCCCCGTCCCTCCGATCCCATCTCCACCATGCGTGCACCGTCCAACCATGCCACATTCACCCAACCATGATCCCTCATCCCCTCCCCTCCCCTCCCCTCCCCTCCCCTCCCCTCCCCTCGCCTCACTCCTTTCCATTCCAACACTTGAACCTGCTCCCCTGCCCCCCTGCCCCCCTCCTCCCTCCTCCCTCCCCCCTGCCCGCCCCCAGCGAGGCGTTGCTGGCGGCCATGGAGGCGAGGGGCGTGCCTCGCACGCGCCTCACCGTGGCGGCGCTCATCACGGCGCACCGCAACCACCGCCCCGTCGCCCCCGACGCCAGGCACAAGGCAACCCGTTTGCACTCCTCATTCCGCTGCTGCTGCCCCACCCCTCCCCGCTTGCTCCTCCGCCTTCCTCTACTTCCTCCCACCTTCGCCCCGTTTTTCCTTCCTCCCCCACCCCAAAAGTCATCTCCCCCACCCCATCCCCCCCTTTCAGGTGCTGGCGCTCTTGGACGAGGCGCGCGCACTGCCCAGTGAAGAGGAGCGCAGGGGGGGGGAAGGGGACGGGGGAGAGGAGGGGGAGAACGAGGGGGAAGCAGCAAGAGCAGGGGCGGCGGTAGCAGGGGCGGTTCGGCGACAGGGGGGCGTGTTGCGGCACTACAATGCGGCGCTGGGCGCCATGGAGGAACTCAGAGACCCGCAGGTGAGGGACCCGCGGGTGAGGGGTGAGGAAGGGGGTGGAGAGAGGCAGGGGGGGTAGGTGAAGGGAGGGGCAGGTGAGGAGGGCCAAGGAGGGGGGGGGAGGGGGGTGTGCTGGAGGGACATGGCAATGGCTGCAATGGGAGCAAGGAGGGACGGGGATGGTTAGTGTGCCATAGAGAACCACCAAGGGCCAATCATGTGCGCATGCTGCTCATGCTCCGAGGCTCCTGTCGCTGTCTTGGTCTTGCATGCTGCTGTTGCTGCTGGTGATGTGGTGTGTGTGAGCGTATTGCTGTTGCTGCCGTGTGCTGGCTCACATGCTACTGTCTGGCCATTGCTGCTGACATGCGCGCTGGCATGCGTGCTGTGATGGGCGGTGCAGGGAGCGGAGCGGGTGATGGCAGCAGCAAGGGAGGACGGGGTCACGCCAGACGCCAACATGCACAGGCTGCTCATCAGGTGTGATAGAGCACAGGCTGCTCATCACGTGACGTGATGCGAGGCGCGGGATATGAGGTCACGGGATATGAGGGCACGGGATGTGAGGGCATGGGATGTGAGGGCACGGGATGTGAGGGCACGGGATGTGAGGGCACGGGATGTGAGGGCACGGGATGTGAGGGCACGGGATGTGAGGGCACGGGATGTGAGGGCACGGGATGTGAGGGTACGGGATATGAGGACACGGGATATGAGGGCACGGGATATGAGGACACGGGATATGAGGACACGGGATATGAGGGCCCGGGATATGAGGGCACGGGATATGAGGGCACGGGATATGAGGGCACGGGATATGAGGGCACGAGATATGAGGGCACGGGATATGAGGGCACGGGATATGAGGGCACGGGATGTGAGGGCACGGGATATGAGGACACGGGATATGAGGACACGGGATATGAGGGCCCGGGATATGAGGGCACGGGATATGAGGGCACGGGATATGAGGGCACGGGATATGAGGGCGCGAGATGTGAGGGCACGGGATATGAGGGCACGGGATATGAGGGCACGGGATGTGAGGGCACGGGATGTGAGGGCACGGGATATGAGGGCACGGGATGTGAGGGCGCGGGATATGAGGACACGAGATATGAGGGCACGGGATATGAGGACACGGGATATGAGGGCACGGGATATGAGGGCACGGGATGTGAGGGTACGGGATATGAGGACACGGGATATGAGGGAACGGGATATGAGGGCACGGGATATGAGGACACGGGATATGAGGACACGGGATATGAGGGCACGGGATGTGAGGGTACGGGATATGAGGGCACGGGATATGAGGGCGCGGGATGTGAGGGCACGGGATATGAGGACACGGGATGTGAGGGCACGGGATGTGAGGGCACGGGATGTGAGGGCACGGGATATGAGGGCACGGGATGTGAGGGCACGGGATGTGAGGGCATGGGATATGAGGGCACGGGATGTGAGGGCGCGGGATATGAGGACACGAGATATGAGGGCACGGGATATGAGGGCACGGAATGTGAGGGCACGAGATATGAGGGCCGGGATATGAGGGCACGGGATGTGAGGACACGGGATATGAGGACACGGGATATGAGGGCGCCGGATATGAGGGCGCGGGATGTGAGGGCGCGGGATGTGAGGGCACGGGATGTGAGGGCACGGGATGTGAGGGCACGGGATATGAGGGCACGGGATGTGAGGGCACAGGATACGAGGGCACGGGATATGAGGGCACGGGATGTGAGGGCACGGGATGTGAGGGCACGGGATGTGAGGGCACGGGATGTGAGGGCACGGGATGTGAGGGCACGGGATGTGAGGGCACGGGATGTGAGGGTACGGGATATGAGGGCACGGGATATGAGGGCACGGGATATGAGGACACGGGATATGAGGACACGGGATGTGAGGGCCCGGGATATGAGGGCACGGGATATGAGGGCACGGGATATGAGGGCACGAGATATGAGGGCACGGGATATGAGGGCACGGGATATGAGGGCACGGGATGTGAGGGCACGGGATATGAGGACACGGGATATGAGGACACGGGATATGAGGGCCCGGGATATGAGGGCACGGGATATGAGGGCACGGCATATGAGGGCACGGGATATGAGGGCGCGAGATGTGAGGGCACGGGATATGAGGGCACGGGATATGAGGGCACGGGATATGAGGGCACGGGATGTGAGGGCACGGGATGTGAGGGCACGGGATATGAGGGCACGGGATGTGAGGGCGCGGGATTTGAGGGCGCGGGATATGAGGACACGGGATATGAGGGCGCGGGATGTGAGGGCATGGGATATGAGGACACGGGATATGAGGGCACGGGATATGAGGGCGCGGGATGTGAGGGCACGGGATATGAGGACACGGGCTATGAGGGCACGGGATATGAGGGCACGGGATGTGAGGGTACGGGATATGAGGGCACGGGATATGAGGGCGCGGGATGTGAGGGCACGGGATATTAGGACACGGGATGTGAGGGCACGGGATGTGAGGGCACGGGATATGAGGGCACGGGATGTGAGGGTGCCGGATATGAGGGCACGGGATATGAGGGCACGGGATATGAGGGCACGGGATATGAGGGCACGGGATGTGAGGGCACGGGATATGAGGGCACGGGATGTGAGGGCACAGGATACGAGGGCACGGGATATGAGGGCACGGGATGTGAGGACACGGGATATGAGGACACGGGATATGAGGACACGGGATATGAGGACACGGGATATGAGGGCGCCGGATATGAGGGCGCGGGATTTGAGGGCACGGGATGTGAGGGCAAAAGATATGAGGACACGGGATATGAGGGCATGGGATATGAGGGCACGGGATGTGAGGGCACGGGATATGAGGGCACGGGATGTGAGGGCACGGGATGTGAGGGCACGGGATGTGAGGGCACGGGATGTGAGGACACGGGATGTGAGGGCACGGGATGTGAGGGCACGGGATATGAGGACACGGGATATGAGGACACGGGATATGAGGGCGCGGGATGTGAGGGCACCTGCTGGTACTGCAAGAAGATAGGGCATCCTTGGTTCAAGTGCTTCAGCAGGCCGGAGGGATGGGCACCTCCAGGCATGAAGCCACCCAGTGGTGAACGCGCACAAGGTGGCGCTGTGCAAGGCTCAGGTGCACAAGGTGAAGGTGCACAAGGTAATGCCTATCCTGGTTTGTTTCTTATGGTTGAGGATGTGCATGGGCATGAGGGTGATGTGGGATTTGTGGGAAAGGTTGTGATGCACCCTCTCACGCACTGGGTGATTGATTCGGGTTGCACCAGTCACATGACCCCACGGGCAGATTTGCTTGATGAGGTAAAACCCCCTGGGAAGATTAAGTATGTGGCAGCAGCGTCAGGTGCTTTGCTCCCCGTGATTGGTGTTGGGAATGCCAAGGTTAAGGGAGCTAATGGGGAGCTTGTGGGGCTTGGGAATGTTCTGCTGGTTAAAGGCTTGTCTGCTAACCTTCTCTCTGTGCGGCGGCTGCAGAAGAGTAAGGCCGAAGTGACCTTTGGACCAACCAGCTGCCGTGCTAAGCTTGGGAAGAAGGTGCTGTGGAGTCTGGAAGAGGAGACCAGCTGCATCAAGGACCTGTGGCAGCTGCCCATCATCCCTTGGAATGGGAAGACTCCAACAGCAGCAACGGCAGCAGTGGCAAAGGCAACAGCAGGAGGAGATGCAACTGCACCAACTGATGGGGTGCTGGAAGCAGTCAAGAAAGTGCAGAAGCAGCAGACACATGGTGAGGTGCTTGCTGGTGTGGATGCGAGTGCGGCATGGGCTAAGGCTTCATCAAGGAGTGGAGAGGCCGATTGGGAGACATGGCATGAGAGGTTGTGTCATGTGAACTTCCCTATGCTGCAGAAGTTGGTGAAGAATGGGAGCCTGAAGGGCTTGGAGGTGAAAGGGGAAGTGAAGGAGATTGGGAGCTGCCCTACATGCTTGGAGACCAAGTTCTCCAAGTTCCCCTTCAACAGTGCAACTGGACCATCCAAGACCCCACTTGCACTTGTGCACATGGATGTGGTGGGGCCCACAAGAGCCCCTTCCCTCTCAGGCAGCCGCTATTTCTTGACAATTGTGGATGACCACACTTGGGCAGTGTGGGTTTACCCTTTGAAGAGCAAGGGGGAGGTGGCAGCGGCTGTCCTTAAGGAGTGGATGCCGAGAGCTCAGAGGGAATGCGGACACAAGGTGAAGGTGATCCGTAGTGACAATGGTGGGGAGTTCATTGGAGCTGATTTTGAGGGGGAGTTGAAGAGGAAGGGGATCCAGCATCAACTGACAGTGCCCTACAACCCACAGCAGAATGGCGTGGCTGAGAGGTTCAACAGGACCCTGCAGGAGGGGGCACGCACTCTCCTTGGGCGTGCAGGGCTGCCTGATCCGTTTTGGGTGTCTGCACTGAGGCAGGTCGCCCTTGTGAAGAACAGGGTGCTGGCTACAGTTGGAGATAAGGAGTGGATCCCATACGTCAAGTGGTATGGGAGTGCTCCAGCTGTGAACATGCTGAGGGCATTTGGGTGCATGGTGGTGTTTCATGTGCCTAAGGAGAAAAGGGGGAAGTTGGAGGCTTCTGGAAGATGGGGTGTGCACTTGGGGATTGCAAAGGATCACAAGGGGTGGCTGCTATGGGACTTGACCACCCAGAAGTTGACAGTGTCAAGGGATGTGAAGTTTCTTGAGTCCCTGTACTACAAGGAATGGAAGCAGCAGCAACAGAAGCTTCCATCTACACCGCTCATTGTGGAGGCAGATGAGGTGCAGCAGCCTTCAAGACAGGTGGAGGTTGCAGTGTCATTGAGGAGATGTCTGGGGTGACTGAGGAAGGGGGAGCAGCTGAAGTAGAGCAGCAGCAGCAGCAGCAGCATGAGTCTCCACCTCGAGTTCCACACCCGCCTGAGCGTCCTAGGAGGGATGTGCGCCCTCCAGTGAGGCTGACCTATGGGGGAAGAGGCAAGCCGAATGTGGTGCAGGCTGGGAGTGTGGTTGAGCAGATTGAGGAAGATGAGATCGCTCACTGCTACTGGGCACCAATCCCTGAGCCCAAGACTCGAGAAGAGGCCTTGAATGGACCAAATGGGGAGAAGTGGAAGGCGAGTGAGGATGAGGAGTTCGGGTCCCTAATTGAGAACGAGACATGGGACCTGTGTGACTTGCCTCCTGGAAAGAAGGCAATCACTTCCAAGATGATCTACAGGCACAAGTATGGACCTGAAGGGGAGCTGACCCGCTACAAGTCTAGGCTTGTGGCACGGGGGTTTCAGCAGACAAAGGGGAAGGACTATGATGAGGTGTTTGCTCCTGTGGGGAAAGGAACAACATTGAGGGTGCTGTTGGCGATAGCTGCACTCCTGGGATGGAAGATTCGGCAGATGGACATTGTGACTGCCTTTCTGAATGGGATCATTCTGGAGGAGGTGTACATGAAGCAGCCAGAGGGGCTGGATGATGGGAGCGGCAGGGTCTGCAGGCTGAAGAAGGCCATCTATGGCCTTAAGCAGGCGCCTCGTGCATGGTATCACAAGTTGGAGGAGGCGCTGCTGGCTGGGGGTTTCAAGAAGAGTGAGTGTGACCCCAGCCTGTTCCTGCTGCAGGAGAAGGACGAAATCCTCATGCTCTTGGTGTATGTGGATGATATCCTTCTCTTTTCTGCATCAACTGCTTTGCTGGACAGCGCAGAGCAGATGCTGGAGATGCAGTTCAAGTGCTCCAAGATGGGTGAGGCGAAGTACTACTTGGGGATGCACGTGGAGAGAGATATGGAAAAGGGTGTGCTGAGGTTGCACCAGAGGAAGTACTGTGAGGGGCTGGCTGAGAAGTATGGGCTGCAAGATGGGGGAAAGCCAGCAACACCACTACCTTCGGGGTTCACTGTGGAGCCATGTGCTGATGAGGAGGTAGTGGGTGATAGTGACAGGAAGCTGTTTCATTCGATGGTTGGGTCGCTGAATTATCCTGCAAATCATACACGGCCTGACATTGCATTTGCTACATCACGGTTGGCTAGTGTGGTCTCACGCCCTAGTCATGAGCAGCTGGAAGCGGCCAAGAGGTTGGTCCGCTATGTGAGTGCTACGGCATCAGTGGGATTGGAGTACAGTGGAGTGAGGCAGCGGTTGCAGAGAGGTGCTGCAGATGTGAAGAGTGGAAAGATGCTCTTGAGTTGCTATACTGACGCTAGCTTCAACTCAGTGAAAGCGGATGGCACCAGCATTGGGGGTTATGTGTGCTTGCTAGGAGGTGGTGCTGTGAGCTGGCGCAGCAAGAAGCAGAATGAGGTGGGATTGTCCTCATGTGAGACTGAGTACATGGCCTTACACCATGGGGCCAAGGAAGTAGTGTGGCTAAGGCGTTTGTTGGAGGAGTTGGGAGTTGGTCAGGAGGAGCCGACAGTTGTGTTCTGTGACAATGAGTCTGCTGTGAAGCTCGCCAAGAATGCTTGTCTGCATGGGCTGACAAAACACATAAGGCCTAAGTGGCACTGGGTGAGGAGACTCCTTGATAAGGAGGTGCGGCTGGAGATAGTGAAGACCCATCAGCAGGCAGCAGATATTTTCACTAAGCGTCTGGCGGAGGCGGATCATTGGAAGGGCATGAAGCTTGCTGGGATGAGTGTGCATTGAGTATGCATGCTTGAGATGTGGTATGGTCGATGATGGTTGGCAGCCAGAGGGGGAGATTGTTGTGTGATGTCATCATATGTTATCACATTCTGTCTGCCTCCCATCCCTTGTTTCAATTCGCACGTATGGTTTGACTGTGTGTGAAAGAATTTGTGTGGTGTGTGTTCTGGAGTTTGGGAATGTGTTTTGTGTTATTCTGTCTGAGCAGGTATTTGTGATGATAGATCTTGAGAAGATCTTTCCGACGCAACAAGAATCGCGTCAATCGGAGCAAGAACGCGAAAGCTATGAAGATTCAAAGTTCATGAGCTTGCGTTACAATTGCGGCGGTTACAAAGTGAAGTTGTGGGGTGACTTTATATGGAGTTGGGACCTTTGGGGTTGGGGAAATTCGTCACTCTACTGTAACAGCTGCAAATTGGTTGGGAACAACCAAGCTAGGTTGGCAAGGGTGGCCAACTTGGATGGATTGGTTGGGAAGGGACAAATGTCAAAGTTGGGGTTCCTATAGGGAGGGAATCTTTGTGCTTATGGGGTTTCCTTGGTTGGGGACTCTCTTGGGACCTTCCCTCTCATCCCTCTCTTCTATCCCAACCTTTCTCTTGCTCCTTCTAATTCCTTGTGAGATTCTTGAACTTTGATTGAACCTTTGAGATTGAGTTAAGTTCTCCTCCTACAGCTTACCCCCTAGTGCGTCGAAAGCCATAGCGTCGCGAATACTTTATCAATCAACATGATTCAAATTGGGAACGGTAGCTGAGATTAAGAGCTACAACATATCCAAGTTTCGCGACATTCCAACGGCTAGTTGTTTGTCGACGTCGTTTCTTGTGAAGACGACTTTTCTGTCCAGAATTTCGGATTTATATTTTGAGTAATTCTAGCTCCTAAGTTCACCTAGACTCCGTCCTTAATCCTAACAGTTTCGCACCGATTCCGTTGGACTACGCCCTTCTTGGTGGTTGGATGGAGGTGTTGTAACCAACACTTGTTACTGTATATGCTAAAACGTTTTCGATATATCTCAGTGTGTGTCTTGGATTTGTTTAGTATATTAAATCGCTTTCCATGGGAACTTGGCTTTCTGAATGTATCTAGACTAATATGTCTTTATGCTAAAGATAAAAAGCTACTCTTGTTGCTAAAATTGGTGCCAAGTTCATGTACTCTTACAGAACGACCGACAAGTCGTTCATAACCTGAAATGGTCGCATATATATGTGGCAGGAATAATGTAACAAACTTGAGGGAGAGAAATTGCGACCCCAAAATTCAATTTGGCTTTACGACCCTGGACCAACTCAGTTACAAGGTGTCGTTCATATATGTAGGGTTACATAATTTCCATTTTCTGTAGGCGTCGTAGATGATGCTAGAGAAGAGACATGGTTAGCATTTGCCAATAACGACTGAATGTCTGAATGCGTGGCCGCATGGAGATCACCCACAGAATGTGGTTTGTTGAGAGATGCACGGGGGAGTGAGTGGACAGGTTTGGGGTTAAGTCTGGCTTTTAACGGAGAGGTTGTCCAAGGTGAGCTTGACTGGTAATCATGTGCCACCCGGTAGGCTGCGAGAGAGCGGGGAGGAGGGGAGGGGGGGAGGGGGGGGAGAAAGAGATGGGGGCATACGTTAGTGGGGGGGGGCAGGGGGTTGAGAGGGGTTAGTTATAGAGTGTTTACTGCCTGTCCTGCCGGGATCCCGCTCACACTTACTGCCCTCTCCCCCTCCCTTGCTTCATGCCACTACCCCTCCTCTGTCCTCATGCCTCTCCCCCTCCCCTGCCCTCATGCATCTCCCTCTCCCCTGCCCTCATGCCTATCTGCCTCCCCTCTCCTCATGCCTCTTTCCCTCCCCATCTCCTCCAGCTGTCCCTGCCTCTCACGCCCTCACGCCTCTCCCACTCCTGCTCTCACTCCTACCCCCCTACCCTCACTGCACTCCATCTTTCCCCACTCTCCTGCACTCATGCCACTCCCCCTCCCCTACCCTAACACCCTCTCCCCCTCCCATGCCCCTCACGCCTCTTCCTCCCCCGCCCTCACGCCTCTTACCCTCCCCATCTCCTCCAGGCTGCACTCTCCCTTTCCCCACTCTCCTACTCGTACCCCTCTTTCCCTTCCCTTCTCTCACCTTTCGCTCCCTCCACGGCTCTTGCGCCTTCCCACATCCCCCCTTATCACGCACCTCATACCTCAATGCTCTCCCATCTCTCCCCCTCCCCTACTCTTACGCCTCTCCCCCTCCCCTGCACTCACGCCTGCTCTCATGCCTCACTCTCTCCCTGCTCTCATGCCTCACTCCCTCCCTGCTCTCGTGCCTCACTCCCTCCTTGCTCTCATGCCTCACTCCCTCCCTGCTCTCACGCCTTCCCCCCTCCACTGCTCTTGTGCCCCTCTCCCTCGCTTCTCGCATCTCCCCCTCGCTACTATCTGTTGTCTTCCCCATCCCTGCGGCCTCGCTTTCTTCCCTGCTGCTGCGCCTTGACCCTTGATCTGTTTTCATTCAATGAGAAGGCAAGGGATTGCGGCGCGCGAAAAAGCGGGTAACACGTTACAACGTGGGAAAGTGGGAAGCGACCCGCAAGAGAAAGCAGGAAGCGGTCCGCGAGGTGAAGCGAGCGAAGCGAAGCGAAGCAAAGCGAAGGGAAGCGAAGCTAAGCGAAGCGAAGCTAAGAGAAGCAAATCGAAGTTGCGAAGCGAAGTGAAGCTAAGCGAAGCAAAGAGAAGCAAAGAGAAGGGAAGCTAAGAGAAGCAAAGCAAAGCTACGCGCAGCTATGCGAAGCGAAGCGAAGCTAAGAGAAGCTAAGCGAAGCTAAGGGAAGCGAACCGAAGCTAAGGGAAGCGAAGCAAAGCGAAGCGAAGCTAAGCGAAGCGAAGCGAAGCGAAGTGAAGCGAAGAGAAGCGAAGCGAAGCAAAGCGAAGCTAAGCGAAGCGAAGCGAAGCAAAGAGAAGCATAGAGAAGCGAAGCGAAGAGAAGCGAATCTAAGAGAAGCAAAGCAAAGCTAAGCAAAGTTTTGCGAAGCGAAGCTAAGCGAAGCGAAGCTAAGGGAAGCGAAGCGAAGCTAAGGGAAGCGAAGCGAAGCTAAGGGAAGCGAAGCTAAGCGAAGCTAAGGGAAGCGAAGCGAAGCTAAGGGAAGCGAAGTGAAGCTAAGCGAAGCGAAGCAAAGCTAAGCGAAGCTAAGCGAAGCGAAGCGAAGCTAAGCGAAGCAAAGCGAAGCTAAGCGAAGCGAAGCGAAGCTAAGCAAAGAGAAGCGAAGCGAAGTGAAGCTAAGAGAAGCGAAGCTAAGCGAAGCAAAGCAAACTAAAGCGAAGCTAAGCGAAGCGAAGCTATGCGAATCGAAGCGAAGCTAAGCGAAGAGAAGCGAAGAGAAGTGAAGCGAAGCTAAGCGAAGCAAAGCGAAGTGAAACGAAGCTAAGGGAAGCGAAGCAAAGCGAATCTAAGCGAAGCAAAGCGAAACTAAACAAAGCTAGGTGAAGCGAAGCAAAGAGAAGCAAAGAGAAGCGAAGCGAAGAGAAGCGAAGCTAAGAGAAGCAAAGCAAAGCTAAGCGCAGCTATGCGAAGCGAAGCGAAGCTAAGCAAAGCTAAGCAAAGCTAAGGGAAGCGAACCGAAGCTAAGGGAAGCGAAGCGAAGCTAAGCGAAGCGAAGCGAAGCGAAGCGAAGCGAAGTTAAGCGAAGCAAATCGAAGCTAAGCAAAGCAAAGAGAAGCGAAGCGAAGCTAAGTGAAGCAAAGCGAAGCTAAGCGAAGCGACGTGACGCGAAGAGAAGCATAGAGAAGCGAAGCGAAGAGAAGCGAAGCTAAGAGAAGCACAGCGAAGCTAAGCGAAGCAAAGCAAAGCGAATCTAAGCTAAGCGAAGTGAAGCTAAGCGAAGCTAAGCGAATCTAAGCGAAGCGAAGCAAAGCGAATCTAAGCTAAGCGAACTGAAGCTAAGCGAATCTAAGCGAAGCTCAGCGAAGCAAAGCAGTCTAAGCGAAGCTAAGCGAAGCAAAGCTAAGCGAAGCGAAGCAAAGCGAACAGAAACCAAGAGAAGTGAAGCGAAGAGAAGCGAAGTGAGGCTAAGGGAAGCGAACTGAAGCTAAGGGAAGCTAAGCTAAGCGCAGCTATACGAAGCGAAGCAAGGCTAAGCGAAGCTAAGAGAAGCGAACGGAAGCTAAGGAAAGCGAAGCTAAGCGAAGCGAAGCAAAGCAAAGCGAAGCGAAGCGAAGCTAAGCGAGTCTAAGCGAAGCTAAGCGAAGCGAAGCAAAGCGAAGCGAAGAGAAGCGAAGCGAAGCGATGCAAAGCTAAGCGAAGCGAGGTGAAGCTAAGCAAAGTGAAGCTAAGCGAAGCAAAGCAAAGTTAAGGGAAGCTAAGCGAAGCGAAGCGAAAGGAAGCTAAGCGAAGCTAAGCGAATCTAAGCAAAGCTAAGCGAAGCAAAGCGAAGCTAAGCGAAGATAAGCGAAGCTAAGCGAAGCTAAGCAAAGCTAAGCGAAGCAAAGCGAAGAGAAGCAAAGAGAAGCATAGCGAAGAGAAGCGAAGCTTAGAGAAGCAAAACGAAGCTAAGCGCAGCTATGCGAAGCGAAGCAAAGCGAAGCTAAGCAAAGTGAAGCTAAGGGAAGCAAACCGAAGCTAAGGGAAGCGAAGCTAAGCGAACCAAAGCGAAGCGAACCGAAGCTTAGCGAAGCGAAGCGAAGCTAAGCGAAGCGAAGCTAAGCGAAGCGAAGCTAAGCGAATCTAAGCGCAGCTATGCGAAGCGAAGCAAAGCTAAGGGAAGCGAAGTGAAGCTAAGGGAAGCGAACTGAAGCTAAGGGAAGCGAAGCGAAGCTAAGGTAAGCGCAGCTATGCGAAGCGAAGCAAGGCTAAGCGAAGCTAAGGGAAGCGAACGGAAGCTAAGGAAAGCAAAGCAAAGCGAAGCAAAGCTAAGCGAAGCTAAGCGAATCTAAGCGAAGCTAAGCGAAGCGAAGCGAAGCTAAGCGAAGCGAAGCTAAGCGAAGCTAAGCGAATAGAAGCGAAGCGAAGCGAAGCAAAGCGAAGCGAAGCTAAGCGAAGCTAAGCAAAGCGAAGCTAAGCAAAGCAAAGCAAAGTTAAGGGAAGCTAAGCGAAGCAAAGCTAAGCGAAGCGAAGCGAAGCTAAGCGATGCTAAGCGAAGCGAAGCGAAGAGAAGGGAAGCGAAGCCAAGCGAAGCTAAGCGAAGCTTAGCAAAGAGAAGCAAAGCAAAGC